ACAGGCTCTTAGTTGCATCCTCGCTCATAGAGTTTGTGAACAACTAGTAACCGCGACATATCCTGCCTCACCTGTATATGTTGACTCACAATTTTGCTTCCTGGAGGACTGAGAAACAAATTTTTAACCAAGGAATTGAGCACTGTCAGAATTGTTTTTTATATCCATTATGCAACCTGTATAATTTGCATCAGAGTAACTGATTAAATAAAACATGGAGTTCTTGGAATACCAAAGACACAGATTGACCGTGCCTTTAAGATATCTCAAGATCCGTTTTACTGCAGTTAAATGTGATTCTTTTGGATTAGCCTGAAAGTGAATGTGAATGCAAGTTGAGAGAACAATATCATATCTGCTCGAGGTTAGGTTCAACAAAGATCAAATGATCGCCCTATCATTATAGCATTGAGTGATTTTCTGGAGGAGCATGAGCGGAGCTTCCTAGAGGGGGACACGAGGGTTCTCATTGAAGTCTTGTAGTAATCCTTAAACCTCTTCCACGTATCATGAATGCATTTGGATTGATTTATGAAGATTTCGTCTAGTAACTGTTTCATTTGCAAACCAAGAAAGAAGTTCAACTCACCCATCATACCCATCTTATACTTGGTGCGCATTAGGTTACTGGACTTTTTTGCCAAAAATTGGATTGGCGAAGGCAAAAATGTCATCAACATATAGATCTGAATCATTATGATATCAATCTTATGTCGCTTGACGAAGAGGGTGGTGTCAATGGTCCCCTCTTGCACCTTCTTGCCCCTTTGGCAGATTTACATATGCAATTAGTGCTACCATTTCTGAGGATTTGGCACGTGCTCCTAATGTAGAGACATGTGCGGAAGGCAAGCCCATAGATTCAGATGCTCCACGAGTTGGGCATTTCACCAATGGGCATTGTCACTTTTTTTCAATTATTGGTTATTGATGGGTTTCTCTATGAGTTTGGTGTCTATGTGGAACTATTTATAAAAGAGAATTAGGAGAATAATAGAAGATTGGGCCACTCATTTTCCTTATATCTTTCTATTCTGTAAAGACCAAAGATTAAAAAAATTAACTTTAAAACAATCACTATATTTAAATATATTATTAAAAACATTTAAAGTTAATCATTTTCACTTCCTTCGAACCATTGAAAATAAAATCACACATAAGTAATTAACTTTCTTTAGAACTTTTCTCCACTTTCTAGCCCATTTCCCACGATCTGGCATCCAAACACTTATTTAGCTTGTTAATGAACAAAAGGTATGGAATTGAATGGTTTTTAATCTTTTTTTTTTTGGATAATTTTGATGACTATGGTGATGAGGATATGAGGAACGCAATAGATGATATTCTATTCCATAACACTTTAGTATTTCGGGAATCACAAGTCACCTTATGATTCACAAAACGATACACTGAATGATGAACATTTTGAAGTCACACCCCATTTTACAAATTGCTACCAAAAGGGCTCTTAGTTTAACAAGTTCCGTTATACAGTATGTTATCTCTATGAAATAGGGCAGGTCGACACTTATGGAACTCTTTTCACAAGACATGCATATATAGATGATAATAGAAAGGATCATCAGTAAAACTGCTAATTAAAAAGGAACTACAATTGCTAATTACAAGAGAATCAAAAACAATTTTAAATCTTATTATAAAGAAACTAATAAAGTTGCTAATTAAAAGGAACTAAAAAGGATCCTACAATAAAAAAGATGACACTTCATCCCTGTGGGCTTCCAAGAACTGAAAAAGGGACCCTTCAATCTCATGAAATCCAGATAAAGTAAAACTAAAATTATATCACGATAACAATCTTAGGTATGAATATTTAAGTTTCACAAAACATTGCAAAGATTTTGTGATTATTTGTTCTACAAAATTGACAGTTACGTGTTTTTGATATAATTTTATTCGGGCTATAATTCTATCGTATAAGAAGCTTATATAAATGGAAGAGTCGCATGATTTCACAAAATAGGGATTGAACATTTTTAACAAGAAAATTTGAGGATGAGCGAAACAAAGGATAAGAGGATCCAAATGGAGAGATGGACGAAAGGAAAATAGTCATATCTCTAAAACGCACAAAACCTAAACAATATTTTCAAAATCCATGTATGTGTGTATTTAATGATAAAATCAACATTTGACATAGATTTTTATTAGCAAATCTTTAAATGTGTTTTGACTCTAGGAAGTGACCCAACATAAGACCCGTAAAATAATTGTAGTATGTATATGAACAATCATGAAGAACAATATATCAAAATGTAACCACATTTTCTTGTGTGAGGAAGTGACCGAAGACTTCAACCGTGGAGAAGTTGCTTTCCAAATAAGAGCAGGACACTCCTCTTATAGGATTAAGGGTAGGCCCATTAATAGAGAATACTCTGTATTTGCGTATAAATTGCACTAATAATTACTTCCTCAATCCCGCTAACTTTATCTCATCTTTCCTTTTTGATCTATTTCACTCAGATTGTCTCATCATGATTCTTCATCAGTCTTACTTTATTCTTAATTTATCATTCAATATCAACCACATAAACTCACTTGTGACGCCTGAAGCTCAGGAAGTGATCAGTCAGACCTAAGTAACTATATCCCATCGATGAAGAAAGAATATTTTCAATAATATTTAGCTATGCAATGACAATTAATAGGAAAAGTGAGGATCAATTGTTGAAAAAAGATAGCATCGTCCAGGGATGGACCGGTTCCAGTTCGGGCCTGAGCCCGGCCGGGCCTCGGTTCATGAAAGGGGAGGCCCGGAACCGGCCGGGGTAATCCCCGGATCCGGTCCGGGCCGGGCCTCGGTTCAATTTTTTTTTTGGGTTTTCCTAATTAACCCCCAACCCTCCCCCTCACCCCAAACCACCTCAAATGGCCCATCACACCCAGCCCAACCCAAAAACTTAAAAAAAATTCAAAAAAAGAAAAGGCCCGGACCGACCGGGCCGGTTCACTATTTAGCGGGCTCGGCCCGCCTACCTCACCGGGCCGGGTGGCCCAAACCGGGGACCAACCGGTTCACCGGGCTGGTCAGGGCCCGCACAGTAGCGGGCCGGGCCGGTTCCGGTTGGCCCGGCCCGAGTCCACCCCTAGCATCGTCCTCAATGGTCCAAACTCTTTTTACGCATGTACAGTTGTGCATGACTACAGTCTTCATAATAACAACTTTATCTAAGTTGAGTTGTATACGAAGAAATTTATAATAACTTATGAGTTTCCTTTAAAGTTTCTACCATTTATTTCTTAATTTGCTATTACAGTAACATTTGGAATTTTATTTAATATTTTTTGTTAATTGGATCACTATCAATTTATTTTATTTCCATATAATTGAATCTATTTAATTACAGTGACGTAGTATTATATAGGTACTTCGCTTCTGTGCAATGCACGGATGAAGTAACTAGTTATGCAAATAACAAGAATAGATGTGAATATAATTAAAAAAACACTCCCTCCATCTAGGCATGGACCAAGCCCGGGCCGGTTCAAGCCAAGCTTTTTTCCAGGATGTTGGGCCCGGAACCGGCCCGGGTTGATACCAGATCCGGGCCAAACCGGGCCGGGCCGAGCCTGGTTCAAGGTAATTTTTTTGGTTGTGTAATTAACCCCCGACCCCCCTCCCTCACCCCAAACCCCAAACCCCCCCAAAACACCAAGCCCTAACCAAGGAAAAGAAAAAAAATTGAAAAAAAATGAATCAGGCCCGGGCCGAACTACCAGGGCCGGTTCATGAAAATCAAGATCCGAGCCCGGCCCGTCAGACCCGCCCAAACCGGGCTAAAGCCCGGAACCGGTTATCCGGGCCCTATCCGATCTAGGGCCACACAGTAGCGGGCCGATCCTGTTCCCGGGCCGGTTCGAGCCGGTTCGAGCCGGTTGGGTCCCATCCCTACCTCCATTCTAGGGGTGGACTGACCCGGGTCGGGCTTGTTTAAGTTTTTGTAATTTGTTTTGAATTAATTCCAACGCCCCACCCCACCCCAAACCCCCCGAACCACCCAGCCAACCTACTAGAAAAAAATTGTGAACGTTAGACCCAGACTGGACCGGTCCATCAAAATTGGATCCCGATACCGCCTGCTTCTTCATTCGGGCCGGGCCCCGGGCTTGGTCCAGGACTTGGTCAACCGAGCCAGGCCTGCATCCAGGTCAGGTAGGCCCGTCCCAATCCATCCCTACTCCATCTCACTTAAAGATTGACACACAATTTAGGATATTTGACTAATCATAAAATTAATCTATCCCTATCAATAATAAGGATGTTTTCTTTTGGACTGTTTTCAATCGCAGACCAGATGAGACTATCAAGTTATAAAATACACAGAAACCAAACATTTACCAGATCAGACAAGCAAATTCTAGTTCAAAAGAAAACATCCTAAGATTATTTTACATGTCCACTGTAAAATTTACACATTCATAACTACATAAAATTAAAAGTTTTATAAAGTTACAAAAAATCAAAATTGATACAGAGTAGAAGTCAGGTATGTAAAGTAAAAGATTAAGAACAATTTACATTGACCGAAAAATAGTGGACGGGAATCTTTAAGTGGAAAGAGAGAAGTACTATAAGTTTATTGTCATAAGATGAAGAGAAAATATGCTGAGAAAACATTTAGCTCTGAATTGAAGAGAAAGAGTCGAAAAGGAATTAAATGAAAAAGATAATTAATTGAGAGTATTTTCCGAATAAAATTAAAACATCCCTAGGAATTTAACATGCCCTCCTTATTACTGCCACATCAGATTTAAAGGAATGCAACTTTTCCGAATTTTTCTCAACCCGCGAATCAAACATTGGAATCTAACGCTCCTTGCATCACATTCTGACCTTCATGTGAAATTACACCAAACCTAACATACCCTTAATGTCTTAGTAAAATAAGTAGGCTCCCAACTCACTCATTTTACTAAGCAACATTTATGGCTCCTAATGCAATGGAGTGGACTATGATGCATCTATGAACAAAAAGTAAACGAACAAAGAGAACGAAGCTATACATTAATAAATAAATAAATTTTGTAGTTCTATATTGACGGTGTTCATAGATACAAGACACAGTAACATCCTTTTAAAATGAATATATTGGAATGTCAGTATGAGGCCTACCCTTTGGTTCTCATAATAGTAATGCTGCCCTTACCTCCTTCTGTACGGATTTTAGTCTTCCCGACAACTGGCTTGCCCGAAAAAGCAGACATGGGGTACACAACCGCAGCCTTTTCAGTTTTCTTGGGCAATGTTGGAGTCCTAATGCGTTTGTTTATATCATTGAGAGTCACATCTCCATGAGCACCACACGGTTTAACAAAATCAAATGGATAGACCACAGATGTGGTGACCTTAGGAGTCTGGATATTCGATTTCCTACCTGGAGAATAAGATGATGGAACATTTAGACATGAAACTGCATGCCAAAAGCCCAAAACCATGGGGTAAATTGAAACGCGTTAGTGTTGACCATAGAGGATCATAGAGAGACAATGAGTCCCATTTATCCACTGGACTTCTTGGTCAAAGGCATTGCCTAAAGGTGGGTAGAGATGACCATTGGACCAACACGGGCCCTGCCACTAAAAAATGACTCACCCACCAAATGGCTGAGATCAGTTACTGGCTTGTCATCTAACACCTCCGTGGAAAACAATTGCCCGTTTGAGACCACATAAAGAGCATATTTTGCAAAGTATTTTCCATAACACATATTTGGTGCTTTAATGGTACAGTGAACCTTCTATAACCATATATAAACATCAACATCTTGCTTTTAAAATCTGGAAATTGGTTTCATCTGTATAAGGTATCCCAAATAGGCAGTCAGCCTAATGTTCTAATCTGTCTTTTATTTTTGCCTCCAATATCATCTATCGATTCATGTTGTTGTTGTAATCAACTTATTATGTTCAGCAGAATAATCGATATAAGCAGCTTTTGAGTCAATTCAGCCAAATAAATCTTACCAAATGGGCCCTAAATGTCATATTATCATTTAGAGAAATCGAGAAGATCTAATAACCTTTAAAGATTATATTTCTTCGAGTTCGAATAGGATGAAGCTTCTGAGGTACAGCATTAACCTCACTCTCAAGATGTTTGTTGGAAAACTCTGCAACATTGTATTGATTATAGAAATTAAGATGAGAAAAAAGGAAAATGGACATTTATTTAAGCACTCGGCAATTTTATAAAAACAAAATTAAACATCTGATGCAGATGTATAAGAAATAGATGCACTACCACTCTGAACATCTGATGTTTCATCAGCAGACACACCACTATTCCTGTGTAATCAATTATTAGAATTATGCTTTAACCAAATACGATTATAAGATTAAATAAAAAACATAGGATCTTGGAATGCAACAAGACATACAGATTTCCAGGACTGATGTGCATCTCTGCATCATTAAAGCACTCAGCAATCCATCTCTCAGATGATTGATCCAGGTTCTCATTACTGGATGCAGACATATCTATTGATAAACAGTACATAACCACTATCAAATGCTTCCAAGGGATGGTTATGGTTTATATATTTCTCTAAGATAAAAATAAAAGATAGCAGGTGACATACCAGCAAATTCTGAAACCCATTGGGATACTTCTGACTTTGACTTTTCAGCCTCCTGATCACAACCAAATGACAAGTTAAACCACGTAACTCAAAGCACTAAAGCTAGCATGGAACAAGGAAAATGGTGGTACAGGAAATATGCATAGGAAAATGTGTTTTTATGTTTGATGATGCAACTTGTATGTTTGAAAAAAAGCGAAGGGATGCATTCATTTTTTAGTAAATTTTACATGTATACAGAATTCTTAGATTTTTAGTAAGTTTTTATGTTTGATGATGCAACTTGTACGTTTGAAAAAAAGCGAAGGGATGCATTCATTTTTTAGTAAATTTTACATGTATAATAGACTCTATGAATAAAGCGAATTGATCAAATATAAAAAATTGATGTAATGAGTTTGACCCTATTATTTATCCTTACAATCTCTTTCCTTCCAATGTTTCCCCTATACAATCCAAATGCATAAGATATAGAACATGCTTCTATCTGGATATCATTCAAGAACAGGTTGAATCTCTTCAGAATATCACAAACCAAAATGTTCAAAATGATGGGTTCCTTAAATTAGAAATTGAACTTCAGTTTATCATCATTTTCTGAATAACTAGTTGAGTGGAAAAATAAAGTCAATAAACTGATAAATTACCAGAACAAACTTGAAAACATTTATTCAGTTGTGTAGTGTCAGAGTACTAAATATTACTCTAGTCATAAAATTCACATTTCCAGAAGTGTACTTTGTAAGCAACCGTTGATTTCATCATTGCAGATGGCATTCCCACAATGCCAAGGGAGTCCAGGCCTTCTGATCCAAACTCTAGCATTCGGCGCCTTTTTGCTTGAGATGATGGTTCCTTATCACTGTTTTCTGTAATTCCAAAAACGGAAAAAAAAAAATCAGCAATGCTGAATGTATTGTGAAATACAAGATTATAAAACCATATATTGGCATACCACCACTGCTAAAGTGGTAAGGGAAATCTCCAAATGACTTGACTGGAGTAGTTTCTTCATCATCAAACATGAAGGAAAGATCTTCATCTTGGCTCAATAGGAACTTTGGTATGTCTGTTTTGGTGTCGTCACCTTGAGAAAAGTCCTCACTCCATTCCCACATTCTGATATTACCAGCAGCAACAGAAAATATTAAGTTACATTAGCAAAAGTGTTTTTAGTCTAAAATCAAGCAGTCCAATCTCAAATATTTCTGGCATGAACAACAATAATGTGAATATGCAAATAAAGTCCACAAATTACTCGAAACAACATACCTGTAAACTGAAATTGACCACAAAAATGCAAACAAAAATGCTCATTTTCTAAAATAGAAAATGAGGGCGTTGATATAAAAACAAACCACGCTGAGTGAAGTTTCAACTGACAGATCTATAAATAAATACATAATAAGCATAATCCAGCATTGCAACAACTAACAAAACGAGAATAGCACAAACTCAGCCCCATAAAACGTGAAGAAAAACTCATTCAAAACACAGTAACTCAAACGAGGAAAAGACGATTGTGAGCACTGAAAAATACGAGTGGAGTGGAGACCTCACTGAGTCGACTCAGCACCGAAACTCGGTGAACGGATTTGGTTCTAAAAAGCAGGAAAATCGTAAAACGGGAACGAATCTAATGAGACCTGAGGTCCAGTTATGGTCAAAGAGGAATCTGATAAGACGGGTGAACGTTGGAAAATCGGAGCACCTATTTCTTCTACCTTCAAGCGGATTTCTTCTCTATTCTCGTGCCCTTTATTATGCTTCTAACGGCCGCTGCAACTTTTAAGGGCTGGCTAGAACAGTTGAACTATTGAAGGAAGGATACTAGAAACGGAGTGCTTCTTCAGAAAGTTATGGTTACTGCTATTAACCGCATTTTAATTAATATTAATAGGTGTTTTGCTTACTGGATTTTCGAAGGTGGACTAATTTAGTTCAGAATTTATTTTTAGAACTAATTCCGTTCTTATTTATTCGATTGGTATTCTTTTTAGGAAATTTTTATATTTTTAGATTATCTTTCTCATTTCCATATTTGGAAATTTTTTCCAATTTTTCCATATTTTATTTTGTGGAAAATTACGGGGATGTATTGAATATGGATTGTGGTGAATTTTTTTTAATCCGTGGACTTTTAAAAAAGTCAATGGACTATTAAATCCATAGACTTTTTTATGAATGAATTCTATGGACTTTTAAATCCATGGATAAATTTATTGACTTTCAAAAAGTCCATAGACTTTTAAATGCGAACCACCACTGCTGGTTGTCGAAATTTTCACCTAGACCGCCGCTACCGATCTGCCCGTCCGCTTCCGTCACTTGAGTTCCCCGTTGTCGTCATCGGACTGATCCGCCACCAACAAAGTAGATTTGGTTATGCAAGAGAATTATGGACAATTACTTATATTAATTAATTAAATTAGGGGTGAATATGTAATATTTAGTCCTATTTAAGGAAAATCAAACATATGATCATATTTTAAGAAGAATGTTACTCCGTATGTTTTAGTCCTACCCTAAATAATTTCCTCTGTATAATACAGAGTATGATAAGAAACAAATAGACAAACAAATAAATAAATAAAAAAATAAATAAATAAATAAATAAATAAATAAATAAATAAATGAAACAAATGTAATTCATATAGCAACACAAAGTTCTACAAGAATAAATGAAGCATAAGAATCCAAATTGATTTTTATTAAAAAAACTCAAAGTTTCAAGAATGCTCAAGAATTTTGGTCATTTTATTAATGAGTAAGAACATTAATCGTTACACTCATTGCTACATGTGGTACAAACACAGTTGCAATCGAGTTTATCTTCTTAATAATCGTTTTCTTTTCATTTCTATCTTGTAAAATTTTGTGTACTTATATACGGTTATATATTTATTAATTTGAAATTATATTTTTATGTGTTAGCGATTTAACGATGAAAGAAAGTAATAGTTAAAATATTTATTTTCTTAATGGTTAAGTGACGACGTACCAGAATTGCACTAATGTAATATTATCGATTCTTATATCAGTTCTTCTAGAAACTTCTAGAATCAAACCAGTATGGGATTAACGAATCGAGGGGTGGGCAAGCTGAAGAAGAAAAAGAATGGAAGGAGAGGGGTGGAGCGAGCTAGGCTGAAGAAGAATGATCGAAGGGGAAGGAGTGACTTGGCTAAAGAAGAGGAGAGTTGGCGGGGTGGGGTGAGTGACGAGATGAAGAACTGGTATAAGAAAAGTCCACGGAAATCTTTAGTGAGGGGACGAGACAATTGAAGAGAATTAATGTACTAAAATGAGTTAAAAGTCCACGAGAATCCATGATTTTAGAAATCCATAAGAATGAACAGAACTTTGAATATGTCTTGACCTTTATAGACTTTTAAAAGTCTACATTGAATACGCCTAGACTTTTGTAGACTTTTAAAAGTCCACATTGAATACATCTAAACTTTTAAAATCCATGGACTTTTAAAATTTTGCCACTAATTCCTAATATAATACACCCCCTTTAACTTCAAGCTCTATAATTTGCACCTCATCTTTAAAAAAAGTGATGTCTAGTTGTGTACACCCTACCTTTTGAGAAATTTGTGAATGAACGGATGCAATTTATAATAAAATCGGGTGCCCACATACCTTTTCTTTTTGAAGATTCGATACAAAGTCTAATTTTGTCGAAGTAATGGGAGCGGTTAACAATTAAGAGCACGTTTGGTGACCCAATTTTTCAGTTTATCAGACTTATCAACTAAATCTTTTATCAAACATTTAACTTTTGAATTCGCGCGCCAGATTGTGTAATAGTAAGAAAAAATATGGTTGATGTTATTTTTCTGGCTGCTTTGGCTGAAATCTGTAGATGATCATTTTAGGTATTTTTCATATAAATTTATTTTTATTTAATTAATAAAATATATTTTAAATATATTTTTTTCATAAATCAACATAAACAGTAAATCCAGTCACTTCAACCCTAGACCCAACGGCCTGGCTGCAGTCTCGTTTCATGTTCTCTGCCCTAGCCTCCATCAAAATCAATTAAATCGCACAGAAAATGAAGAAGGAGAAGATTGAAGCGTGCGATTGAAATGCACAGGAGGCCACGCTTGAAGTAGGGCGGTGACTCTCATAGAGACAGTGGTGGGACTCTCACAAAGACGGTGGCGGTGACTCTTGAGTGACGGCGACAAAGGGTGAACTTCATGTCAGTTGCAAAAGCTCCAGGGTTGGGGTGAGAGGAGATGCTAATTTAGGGTAAAAATAGTTTTGGACTTTTGATATCAGGAGATACGGAGCAGCGGAAGTAACTAAATGTTACTTTTGTGTCCAATTGAGTTTTAGTCACATTCTTGTCAACCAAAGGCCTATTAGTATTACTTTTGCCATTCTTTCAATAGACAATAGCTTTAATTTCAATGGAGCAATAACACAATAACACACCTCGTGTATATTCATTATATTGTTGTACCAGGCCACCTCACAATTTCTTGTTTGTAAATCATAAGAGGGAGTGATCGGTTTTTCGTTGTAAAAGTAAAAAAGAATGTTATGATTTGGCATTGGTATCATATGACCGGTAAGATACCATTTTGAATTTGTAGAATATCAAAGATTTTGTTTCTACGGAGTATATCAGAACTTCAGAAGTGTGATTTTATATATATTGTAATTGACATTGTCATATTGTTGAAGTAGTTGTGTAATTTAGAGTTATATTATACTCCGTATGTAGTAACAAAATACAGTGAAAGTTTTAAATCATTATTTATTTAGAATTTGAAAAGTAATAAGTTGGATTTTGAAATATTGTTTGCTTCATTTTCTGAAATTACTTAAATTGTTTCATTGCAACTTCCAATGGGTACTTCAATTTCGAAAAATTGTTCTTTACATGACTATTTGTTTACTTGTTTCTTACCAAACGACTAAAAGATCTATTGATATATGCAGTCTTCAACGGTCAATACAACTATGAGTGAATCTTTTAGAAATGTTGCAACGAATGAAAACGTTAACTTGATGTATGTTCCTAGAGAGGCCATGTTTAATGCGCAAATACAACACTTATTCAACCAATAATCCCAATATAGAATTTTTGAAGAAGTTACGCCATCAAACGACCCTGATGAAGAGGGACAACAATAGGGTAATAACTCTAACGGCGAGTCGGCGACAATGACCAAGGAGGCTCTACATCGATAGTGATCCAAGGTAAACCTAAGGAATCATTAAAATATGATCTTTTACTATCGCTTTACGAGGATAAAAGGGTCAAAAGACAGAATATGGCAGACAACTTAGAACTTTTGCCAAAAGGCGATTCACATGGACGATATTGAACGGTCCGTAAACACTTGAACGCGAAACACCCTATGGAGATAGTGAGGATGAAGAGAATTGGAGAACAAGCACAAACATCAAGGTTGCGAATTCTCAACTCCTTAGAAACTTCGTTTATAATATAATGATGAACAACATAAAAAATAATGGTTGAATTAATTGTTAAAACATACTCCAATTGCTTATTTATATTTTGCGAAAGTGGCGCATGAAGAAAGTATGGTCAACAACAATGCTTGATGTACCCACCCTTAACCCACCTTATACCCACCATGTTTGTGAACCTTTTTTTGTCTGTGAACTCGGTTTACAGACAATATTTTGCTTGTGCAAAATATTGTCCGTGAATCAATGTTCACAAACAAAAAAAAACTTTCACAAACATGAGTGGGTACAAAAGTGGGTATAAGAGTGGGTACAAACATCATTTTTGTTATGATAATGTTAATTAATAAAACAAAAATGATGTTTGTACTCACTCTTATACCCGCTTTTGTACCCACCCATGTTTGTGAAAGTTTTTTTTTGTCTGTGCATATCGATTCACAAACAATATGTTAAACAAACAAAATATTGTCTGTGAACCGGATTCACAGACAAAAAAAAGCTTCACAAACATGATGGGTATAAGGCGGGTATAAGGGTGGGTACATCAAGCATTGTTGTTAATAAAACTCTGAGGTCTTGCACTCTTGCCTATATTATGTGAACTATTTGGCCCGTCTACAAATTTAATTTAAATATAAATGTATTTTTATCAACGATGTGCATGTAATGTTTTGAATTTGTGTATGCAAGATGATCGAGTGACAAACTTTTGGCAAGTCATGAATAATGTCAAGGGCGATATTAAAATCATTTGGGATAATAGTTTAATTAAACAATGTTGGAGAACTTATTTGGAATCATTAAAGGGTGAGTTTTGCATATGTTGAAAGAATACTTGCGACTAATGTTGTGCTGAGATTTAGGAATTAATGGTATGCTTTTGTGAAAAAACATTGTGAAAACATTATAGAACCCTTCTATTTATCATACAATTCCTTCTATTTTTCACCCTCCATGTTATATTGAGGGAGTAAAAGGTGAATCAAGTATTTGAATTGCATTTTTAGAATTCCAAAATATCATTAAATATTCACATTAATGTCGCATTTGAAAAATACTAGAACCTCCGCTCCACTAACATTGCGACATGAGGTGTCATGATTAGGAAGGGAAGTGAGTTTATATGGTTGATATTGAATTGATAAAGTAAGAATAATGTAAGAATAAAGTAAGTATGATTTAAAAATTAGAACTACACAAACTTTACCAAATTGGGTATGAGACAAACTTAGTGAGATGAATAAAAAAAGGAAATACTCCCTTCGTTCTTTTTTAGTTGCAACGGTCAACATTTCACATTTGCCAACACACGTCTTTGACCATAATTATATCTTAATTCTATTAGTAAAAAATATTAAAAATCAGATTTTGAATATTTGTAATGAGATGAATTGAACAATATTTTTTTTGGAAGAAGGCGGCTTAAATTGATATCACAACATTAAGAAAGGGAACAAGAAGATAAAAGGAGCACTTCCAACTGCCGACCCTCGAACCAGACTTGGATCCAATCACCCTGTATAAAGCAATATGGCTCACTGATCCTATAATGAGTTCAAATGAGCCTAACACGGTTAAAATAGAACCCTTGTCACCCAATCCTAATTCACGAGTCTCACAGAAATAAAAGTAAATGGCAACAACAAAAACAGTCTGATCAAAGCAAAAAAAGAAATAGAAAGCATAAAAGTGGAACTTCATCTGCACCCTGACAATCCCGAAGACCTTCCCGTGTTCTCCCCTGAGCTGAAGCGTCTTCAGGTTTCTCGGCGGGTCTAGGGACGAAGACCCGCCCCCTCTCCATTTTTTGGGAAATCCAGTGCCATTTTGTCCCCTTCACTATCCTCATGCTGTTTTTCCTCCCACATCCTTCTGTGTTTCTGCTCTCCCAGGACTCCTTCTGTATCTGCTGCTCCATCCGCCTCAGCTTTAGCCTTGCTAGCGTCCACCACGGTGAGAGTCCATTTCTGCCCTGCTTCCCCACCTCGTCCAGCTCTGTCCTTCTCTTTTACCTGATGAATGTCCTGTTGAGCCGAGCCCTTCTCACCTGAACAATCTTCAAGGACCAGCCACTTGTTGCCCCCCATCAGGTGAGATTTCCCTCACCCTCCAGCACAGAGGCTAACCCCACAGGGTTTGTTCAGCTCTTTGTTCTCACACTCATAAGCCAGAGGGCAATATCTGTCAGCATGAGCTATGATACCACAAGCAAAATAGAAACTAGGAAGTTTTCATATTTAAAATTCACCCAATGGCGTGTACCCCGCCCTTTCCTAAGTGTCGTGCCCACTTTCAAAGCTTTCCCTACGTCCGTACAAACCCTAATTCTCATGTAATTTAAGAGTTCCACCTCTCCTCAAACTGACTTTCATCAAAACTAATAAACTTACCAATAAAATTGCCAACTCTCCTAGCCACACCTAAATTCATAAAAAAGTAAGGTACATTATGTACCTGCACCCAGAAATCAGCCTCATTTAGAGGAACCCGAAGAGAGATGTCTCCTGGCTTTAATGCCCTTAGCACCAGCAAGTCCTGTTCAAAAAGCCACAGACCACTTCCAAGCACACGTTCCATGTCAATAATGTGATAAAAAGTGAATAGATACCTTTTTTCACTGATCTCTTTGATTGAGATCCCTTTTCCAGGACGCCATAGAGAAGCCATGAGGTCCCTAAACACCGAAAATTTCACCATTCTATCCGTGAGTAGAGTACCCACAATCGGGAAAGTATCGCTACGTTCCGATGTCTCTCCCTCACCGGCTAACTCCTCGTAAAAAACAATCTCGTCCTCGACTCCACCTATGGCCATGTTATTATATTTGTCTGCGATATCCTCCATCCCACCCAATTACTTTGATTCTTGTCCGAGCAAGAGGAGTCTGGTAATGGTTTCAGCCTGACCGTGCTCTGCCTCAGAGGGATATGCCTGCTACATGATTCTCTTTATCAACGAAGGGTGTTATAAGCAGAATGAAATCAAAACCTACATGAGAGAAGCAATGTTTCAACCGCCTCTCTGCCTGCTCTGCCGAAGAAGATCCGCAAAACCGGCGGCGATACTCAAACCCTACGCTGAGGGAGACGACCGCCGTTTTCTTCACCTTTAATTTTCTTGAACAATATTTTAAAAAAATCACAACATAATAGCGTAAAATGTAGTCAAAGTAGAGCATGTGAATAATCAACATGTTGCGATTAAAACGGATCGGAGGATGGTATGAGACAATCTTCGTGGGACGGAAGCAGGGTCGGCCCTGTCCATTTCTGGGTCTATGGGCGGTACACTATTTTAGGTCTATATCCATGACAAACAGTAAACCATATTTGGGCAATGAAATTCATAAAATAAAGACGAGAATCACTTTATTATTATATACGTTACCTATTTGGGCAAAAGTAACAACACGAGTATCAAATAAAAAGAAAAAAAACATTACTTTAAAACGTTCCTCGTAAACCAATGTGAAGCAAATCATTAATAATTGATTCATGGACAACCTTCTTTCCACTAATAAATATGACAAACAATAAAATTGCCACATATAACAACAATAAACTTTCTTTTGAAAGGATAAATAAAAAGAAATATTACCACATATTCAATTCATAAGTTGAGAATGATTTATTGACCGCTTATGGTAGTCTAAAGTTTGAAGTCTCGAAAGAATGAAGGTTTTCATAGAGACAAAATGTTTGGTTGCCAAGAGGACTCGCACAAGAAGATTGCAAATTTGACGTCCTCTAGAACTACTATTAGGAACTCAGATATAGCTTAGGATGTTTTTACTTGGACTGTAATTTGCTGGTCTGATCTGGTCTGATCTGGTCTGGTCTGGCCTGGTTTCTTTGTATTTTTATAACTATCCAAGTCTGGTCTGGTCTGAACTGGTCTGGTCTGAAACGAATTACAGTCCAAGTAAAAACATCCTTATTGAAATTTGGAAACAAGTGAATATTTGAGGTGAAATTTGAGAGAAATGGGCTCTAAAATAATTATATAAATTTGTTATGTTATAATTAAATTAAATGAAAACCTTAAAAGATGTGAGGACTAGAGACACGTGTCTTTTATTTATGCAGCAACAATTGTATTGCTTTTAAAAACTACAACCGATCATGTTAAAAAAATTTAAGACTCTTTATATATGTTTTAAATTTTCAAATTGTCAACAAAATTAATCATTAGGCATAATTAATTGAACAAGAATAAAAAAGAAGTCTACACACTATATATAAAGAAAAAAAATTGGACCTATTTTTCTTCTATTTTTTCGGGCCTAGGGCGGTGGCCCCTCGCCTCTGGCCCTGGACGAAAGAAGTACAACTTATGATACTCCCTCCGTCCCTAAAAGGATTGCCAAGTTTGACCGACACGTAGAATAATAAAGTAAAAACTGTGTGGTAGAGATTTGTGCAGAAGAGAGAAATAACAGCAACCACAAATTGATTGATTAAAAGGGAAAGTGACAAAGTTTTTGGGACAACCAAAAAAGGAAAGTTGGCAAAGTTACAAGGGACGGAGGGAGTAGTATACTACCATATTTAAGATGTGCCAATGTCAAATACGACAATTAATTTAGGGAAATAAAACATAACACTCATATTTTAATTTTTAAACCTTTACATTAGTTTCATTTTATTTGGGAATTTTTCCTTTTCAATACTTCTTTAAGTTCATTTTATTGGCAGTCAAGTGCCCCAAGTAAAATGAAATGGTGTTGTAGACCACTTTAAGTTAATAAAATTTAGGTGACCTCAAGAGTAGCTTTTCTTCAGCAGAAAAAGCTGACAAGGGAAGAAATTTATTGCACGTTTTTACGTGTGCAAAGAACGCAGTACACAAGTTTGGATATAACTGGTGCAAAAGAACGTGGAACTACCAATGTGAATAAACATCTTATAGAGAGGAGAATTACATCAATATCTTGTTTCCATTATAGAATAACGAAAGTCCTACCCAAATATGAAAAGAAAAAAGAGGAACATCTTAAAAAGGAAAGACTAAAGAAGCTACATATCAACACATAATTTTGATTTTGTAAAGAAATTCATATACATGATCCAAACGGGAAAGGATCAAACCCGAATTCCCCCTCTAGTAAGCTTTCATCTTGTTCCTGCAGTGCATGAAATGATATTAGCATTGAATGGTATTCGGGCAATCGGGCTTGTTTGCAAGAGTTATTTAGCTAATATTGTTGAATTGTTGAATTTTCTCAAAGAGAAAGTGATTGAAGCTACTTATTCTACTTATTGAGCATAGTAGATAATTATGGCTACCAATGGAACTTGGGGTTGTCTACTCCTTACATCATTACTTTCTAAGGGTAGCTATTATCATATTTATTATACTTAAAAAACCTTCAACAAAGGAAGGCAATAAGGTTGCCTAAACTTCCACTTTCTCATAATATTACAGAGTTCGTGGGAAGCTAAGGCTCTGATGATTGCAGGAAAATAAAAGTTGTCGCGCAACATGTTTTTCTAGAAAAAAAATTATGCATCTTTTGAAATTTCAAAGACCATGGGAAATAAATGCATGTAAATGAAGCAAACGTTTTCTAAAAAAATATTTACTCAGGAAATAGTTTTTGTGAAGATTTCTTATGTTTCATAATTTGCCTGTTGGTTTTGTGCACATTATACTTTTACATGCAACATCTCCTATTTATGGTGTGATTATATTTGTAAATGTATTGTCACATATTCACACTCCAACGATGCATTGGTGAAAGCAGAGTAAGAATAGTGTTACTAGCTCCATCTCTACAGTCTACCCCCCTCCCCCACCCCACCCCCGGCAACTTAGCACACTTAATAAAAACAATGAGATTTTGCGCTTAAGTTTTATGCAAAGAACAGTTTAGAAAAACAATTATTTCCTCAAAAGGAAAGAGAAACCGTATGGATGAAAAAGGAAAGAAAGGGCCCTTTTACAGGGACGGAAGGAGTGTTATGTTTATATCACCTAGAACAGTTAAATACACTCCATCCACCTGAAATGCAAACAGTAATAATACTGAGATACCTAATGGTCTATCTTGATGAAATTTGCGGGAGGGCTTAGTTAATATCTTAAGAAATAGAAAAGTTCTATAAATGAATGAAAACATAAATAAAATGTTATAGAATCACATTTCAAGTAAATCTTTCATTTTTTTAATAAAATCTCAAATATATAAATATATATATATATATATATATATATATATATATATATCAAGACCAACCCCCACCCCACCTAGTTCCCATTGCAATTTAATACCCTAATCAGAATATACTAATTTTAAAATATATAAAAACATAACATACCTGCTTGATCACTGAACTCATCATCAGATCATCTATAGATCCAAAGCCTGGAGAGGGTAAAGCCTCATTTGGCTTTGGTGGCTCAAAAAGGTACTCTCCATAGTATCCCGCCCTTGAGCCGGGAGTCAAAATCCCATTCTTGTTGTGTTGCAACAGAAATGAAGGCCCCATACTTGATTCACCACAAGCATCAATCACTCTGTTGTTGCGAAGGTCATCACATTGGTCAACACCAATCCGGGTCAAAGGCTGTGGCACAATGTTGTTGACTGGGCCCCGAGAACTTGTTGTGTTTCCATAAACAGCATTTGACTTGTGATTATTAAGTTTACTATGTTCTCCCCACTGTTGAGTAGCCACATGATTAATAGTACTCTGACTAGCAGCATCACCTACCAACCTCTCAGGGCCAACAGAAGTAGACGCGGTGCAAGAATACACGGGACAGCTGCGCTGTAAACGCGGCCCCACAGAAGAACTACTCTCTCTCACACAATTTTGTGTCAGTTGAGGGGTATGGTTGAACGTTTCGGTCACCGGCTGGAAATTGTTGACCTGAATTGTGTTCTGCCAATTCTCACTCGACCTTCCATGGTCAAGAAAATTGGAAGACCCGCTAACTGTGAGGTTAAACGGATCAGAATTTAATGAAACCACATTTAGAGCTTGCGGGATTCCAACTCCTCCCGCAATTAGCCCAACACCAGAACTTGGATCTGGAAATGTTGTATTTGCAGCTCCAAGAAGCGTGGAACCGCCTAACGGGTTGAGGTCACTTTGTTGCAAGGGGTCAACAACAAGTTCTAATGGTGGGACCCAGCTTGCATTCTGGGTAACAGCTGGACCGGTGGCTGGACCCAACTTTCCAAGAGTACCAAAAGACTTGCTCAAATTTTGAGGGAGATTAAGATTCCGGATGTTTACACCAGCAGCACTATTTAGTCTACCAAGCAGGCCACTTGGTGGGTATGATGATAAAGAAGGATGGGTAAATATTCCTGATCCTGCCAGTGTCCGGAAATCTCCGAGCCCGTCAAGTGAGCCCAATCGCATGTAAGCAGATTCTTTCCCCCCAAAGGCAGCCACCATGTTGGCCTGTTGAGTTGCTACCGAACTTATTCTTTTCAAGTAGAGCCTGTACTTCTGAACCAAAATTAAAAGGTTTAAAAATCGTGTGTAGCCAGTATGTAATAAATAAATGATCATGTAGGTCTTCAAAGAAATATCCATAAAATCAAGCTAAATATCATTGATCACAATTGCAAAAGTTAAAACAATAATTAGTTCAAGAAATAACTAATAAGTATATGTCATGAACAGTATTTAGACAACCTTAGCTTCAATTTGTCTACAAATGCCTTTTTAATTCATTTTTTTACTAATGTCAAATTTGGTATGCATTTATTCCAATCTGTTTTCCAACATTTCCAATGGAGCCAAAGACTCACTATTTTTTTGGCTTGGGAATATGATGGAATAAAGCAAAATGGCTCACAGAACTGTTTGTGCTTTCTTGTTATGAAGCAGGAGTCGGTCCATGAAATTTGCGACGCGGTTTTCATCATGGGTCATCCAAAAACAGTCTTCGTGTGCTTTAGTATAGGGGTAGGCTGCGTACATCCGACCCCCTTTACCCCACCGTTGGTGGGGAGCCTTTGTGGCACTGGGATAATGTTGTTGATGTTGTTGTTGTAGTATTTATTCCTTTCAGTGTCGTTGGTGGCAAAAATAGGCTTCAATGGTCAGAATGACCAATAACTTGTAATGGTCATGATTTTTTATTCAAAGGGCGCTTTTGTCTTCACTACCATTCTTCCATGATTATTCCAATTCATCTTAATTAAATAAAAGGATCTTATAATGCACAGAAATCCTACAATACATCATTCTAAAGCCCTTTATGGTAACCGCTTATTTCGCTGAAATAACAGAATCTGCAGAACTTGTTAAAATAATAACATTAGGTAAAATGATGACTAACATCCATTTCAGTCAAATAAGTACATCAACAGTAACTTATTTTGCTAATTGAAGTAGGATAAGCCAGAAAGGCTACCAAACGGAGCCTGAGATTTGAATAAACATCGTTTGTACCTAATAAATCTTATCCGATAACACTGCAGACAAACTGTAGATGCAGGAAATTCCTAAAAATGAAAACAAAAACACTAGAAATAAAAAAAGTGGATAGATTATTACCTGGAGATGGCTTGCTACATTTTCACGTGTAAGCCCATCAACATTCATCAGGTCAAGAATCCTTTTGGGTACAGCTTCTGTGATCATGCAATGAAACAGAATACAAGACAAGAAACACATGAATAAGAAACAATAAAAGATTTAGGGTTTGTTTGGATAATAGAAAATGCTACGGAGAGTGGGGTGCAAAGGGACGTTATTTTATTAAATTTGGTTTTATCTCTGAAAATGCAAACACAGGTTATACACTTATACTGCTTAGTCTACAGAACAAGCTGAATAATTAGAATAAGTAAAAAACTATGGTCATAGTTATGACTTACTAATTTTGAAAGGATTAAATATGATTCAAGTGGATCAGAGTATGGCTATGGATAGAGCAAATTGGAAGGCAGATATTTGAGTGGAGGATTGATCTCTTTTCTTCTTTTCTATCCTTTTATCTTTTTATCTTCTTTATCTTTCTTATGTTCTTCATCCTTTTATCCTTTTTTTTATTATTTTCATATATTCTTTCTATCCTTTTTATCAAGTTATACTACGATTTTGACATTACAATTTTTTTAAAAGTTGAATTTTTGCTTTTGACTTTCCCACTATACCCTTACATAAAGTAGATGAGGTGTAGTGAGAGAGAGAAAGTGAGTGTAAAGTGGGTAAATGAAGTAAGGGTATAAGGCTAACTTTATATTAAAAACTTGTCAAAATAGAAATGGGAACTTTATTTTGGACCTAACCAAAAAGAAAAGTGGGAACTTTACTTAGGATCAGAGGGAGTATTTATCTTTATCTTTATCTTACCTTATCTTTTTCTTATCTTTCTTATCTTTCTTTCACATCATGTATCGATTCATGTTAGCCGACCCCAATATCTTTTGGGACTAAGACTTGGATGTTGTTGTTATTGTCTTATCTTTCTTTCTTTTTGGCTCCGATATCATGTGCCGATGCCGATTCCAGTAAGCCAACTCCAAAATCTTTTGGGATTAAGGCTTGGATGTTGTTGTTGTAAATATGTTTCTGGACCCTTGAGATAGTGTTTGTTTTTTACGTCTCTGCAAAATTATTTATAGGTTTTCCATCCCTATAATCTATGTTTCTTTCTTATTAGTTTCTCACCGATCGTAACTAATAGATTTGGTACCATTCTTTGTCATGTAATTCAAAAAATGCATATTTATTTTCTAGAGGATCATTAGAGCCTATTTTAAAACGTGAATGATTAGTTTTACATCATTTTAACTCCAACATTGGTCACCAAGAAATTAGAAAATAATAAATTTAAAATTTTTCGGTAGAGTTATGCAAACAATAATTTTTTCTAAACGGAGATTTTCTCGGATTTTGGAGGGCCTAAAAAGAAAACGAGAATGAAAAAAAGAAATATTCTGCACGGATATAAAACAAAATGTGTCATTTTTGTGGGACTAAAAACGTATTTTAGCCAATTAGAAAATAGACTGAACGGGACACATTTAATTTATAAGAACCCTTACAAAACGGGCTTGAAGTATGAGCATTGTTTTTTAATATAAAAAACAAGGATCAACTGACTCCGTTCCATCTATAAACTAGGGCTTCGGAGAGCCTAATGATTGAATTTTTCCACAGTTTAGATTTTCTTCGATACTTCGAATTCGATTGAGCCGATATTGATCCGTGGAAATCCTGAAGCCCAACTTTTTTCAAGTTGTTCGTTCGGGATCGAAATTCTGGGGGATATTTTAGGTTTCTAATTTTTTGTTTAATTTTGGCAAGTAATAGTGAAGAGCGCCGCGGTCTCTCCCTAGCAGGTCTAGGGTTTGGTTTTTCCTTAGCAGATCTAAGGTTTGGTTCTTCGGTGAATCCCTTTCACTTGTGTCCAGCGCTGGGATTGGATTTGAGGCAGATTGACAAGAATCCTTGCCCAAACTTGACGACATCGAAGCCAGAGTTTGGCGATCGATTTCTTCGTGAACAGGGTAGCAAGGGCATAACAGCGATGAAGATGACCGCTAGCGGTGGATTTGCTACGAGCGTGGGATGAGGAGAGGTGCACGAATTTCGAGCAGGCCAGATGACGATTGACAATGGAGGATCAATTAAAGTGGTACCAAGGATATGGCCTCCTCCTGAACCACCATGATGGGTTGTACGAGGTGCTAGAGTCCGTGGAAGTTTTCCTATTAGTTATTTTTATTCTGTCAGTTGGCTTCTTGTTATCGTCTATGTTGTGAGGTTTGTCAGTTTGTTTGGAAATTCAGCCTTTTTTATGTCATTGAGTATGTTTGGATCTATGGGAACAGGGATGACTGTGTCAAGCCCGCTACATGGTTAGCGATTCGCGTTGCTCTTTCAGGGGTAACCGAGTTTACAGTCGTAGTTGTTAGATTTTAGTTGGTGTCAGTTTTGTTTTTCCTTTGATTGATGTAATGATCCTGAAACTTATGATATGAAAGAAGGCTAGTTGGCGATAAAAAAATATAAAAAACAGATGTTTAGATTTCTTGGACATTATTATACAATAAAATGAATAAGCAAGTTCTTTTCAGCAAATATATAAAGTCTAAACTACTTATTTAGTTTGAGTTTACCCTTGAATTTCCTTCGCTAATATTTTTTCTCATTACTCCATTGTTCTTTTTCATATTTTATTTCCCCTGTAAATCCTGGGTTCCAAACAGATCTAAAAGTACTTGTGGCAAAAAGATAAGCAAAGGAATGATATTAAAGAGCTCACTTTCAATGCCCAACTGATTAACAGCTGCAACGAACTTCCTATGAAGTTCTATAGACCAAACAACTCTAGGCTTCTTCTGTGCAGTAGGGTCCTCATTCTCGTTCTCATTATCATCACTATCATCTTCCTCATCTTTCCTTTTCTTGTTCACCTTCATAATTTGTCCACAGCCATCCCCACCCCCATAACGAGCCGTGTCTTGATCAGTTGACTTGTTTTGGTTCTTGGAGTCAAACTTCTTTCTCCTGATGACATGCTGCCATATGTTTCTCAGCTCCTCAATCCGAACAGGTTTGACCAAATAGTCACAAGCACCGTGAGTTATTCCCTTCATTACTAGTTTGGGATCACTATTTCCGGATAACACTGCATGGAAGAAAAAAAATAGGGATAAAAAGATTGTCGGTCAATTCACAAAAGGGAAAATTTGACTTTGCACCCCAGTAATATTTTTTCTTTGAGAATGCACCCCAGAGTGGGGGTGTAAAGTAAAATGAAATGGACCCCATTTAAGGTGCATGGTCAAAGAAAAATAATTCACAGGGTGCACATTCAAATTTATTCTTTGCAAACACTAGATATGCTAAAAGAAAAACAAAAAATACGCCTCATTTGGATTTATTTAGGTGTTGAAATTAAATTACTGAAATAGTTAAATTAGATTACCAGGAATTGAATATTACAAATCAGATAAATCACGTTAGGACATTAAGGGTGTTTGGATATGCTTCTTAAACTTCTGCTCCTTCAGGTAACATAAGCAGATATTGGAGTGTTTGGATGGAAGTGCAAAATTACTTCCAAGTGCTCCAAATTGCTCCTAAAAGCAGAAGCAGAATCAATTTCAAACACCCCCTTAAAATGTGGAAAATTCTTTATTTTTATTTATCTATTTATATAGAGTTCTGTAAATTATTGCAGTAGAAAAAACACCCAAAGATGAGAAGCAGGACAATAATGTGAGGTGTATTGAATGTCCCCAATTTCAGAAACTGGCATAACCCCTTCCCTAATTCCGGGGAATAAGGGAAATTCTATGAATATGAAGCCAATCAATACGAGGGCGGATCTATCTGTAAACATTATTGGACGAAACACAAGATGTCAATTTAATCATAAACCACAGAGATTCAGATGCTTACTGATGACAGGGAGATCCATCTCGAGCCCAACAAGTTCTAGCAGCTTAAAACCGTCCATATCAGGCATATGAACATCACTGATTACCAAGTCAAATCTGTCTTTGTTTTCTCTCAACATATTCAGGGCCATTCTTGCTTCACTTGTTGTGGTTACTATAAAAGAAAAACATAACACAGAGTTCCATTTATGATTTTCAACACCCACACACATGTATAACACAAAAGGGGAAAACATCCCCAGGCAATAAATAAGAAAATAAAAATCAAAGAATGATCATAAAGTTGGTGTCATAAGCTCAATATTAGTCATTTAAAGTAGTGGAGGAACAATAAAGAACATATTATCCAAACAAATCCTATGATCTGCCCAGCAACGTTTAACCCATGCTTATTGGAAAACAATTACAAAGGCTCCATTAGCTACAGCCAATTCCAGAAACCATGCAATACCCCCAGGAATTATCATCTACAAACTGAAATGATAGCGAGATCTAGATTTCCCCTTAGATTACTAGGATACTGAAGCAAGATCCTGAAAGTGGGATTTATCAAGTTAACGGGGGGTCAATGAAACAGCAAATCAGTAAACTCCGCAGCCAATAAATTCACAAATCTGTAAATCAGAAACAATAAATTATCGACCCAATTCTGTAAAATTCTCAAACATAAAATCAATCAATTATAGTCCAGTTTTAAAAAGGAAAGACAGAAAAGGCATACCATGATATTCGCATTTCCTAAGCAGCGTTTCCAGTAGCTTCAAGCAAAGTGGGTCATCATCAACAGCAAGAACTTTCATTCCAACAGGGAAGTTGTCATAATTACCATTCTCAGTCCCCATATTCCCTCGTATTTCCTCCACAGTCATCCTCTTTAACAAAAAAGAAGCCAGACCAATACAGACCAGACACTCGCTTGCTAAAGTTTCAATCTTTGCCGCAAAGGGTCAACTTTTGTGTTTAAATTGCAGAATTGAGAGAAAAGAAAATACCAATTAGTATATAAGTGGAGTATGCGTAGAGAGCGAGATGGACGTGTGGACAATGATGGAGACGGGCAGAAAAGAGTGAATGAATTTAACCCAAGAAATATCAGATCATACAATTCCTTTTAGTTATATCTCCATAGTCCATTCACTTTCCCTCCCCTATCCTGTGATCTGTTTACCTTTTTCTTCCACTCTTTCCCTACACAAAAGTCGTAATAGATTGACGGGACTCAAACAGTCAAACCTATTCTGATATCCACTTTTACATTTTAAAGATAACGTTGTAAGAAAAGAACTAAGAACCCGTAAAATCCATTTGTGTTCTAAAAGTTTTAAGTTTGATATTATCATTGAAGATGAAGAGATATTCTTTTTGTTAATCAAGTTAGGCTTTCATGAAATATTTTTATACTACGTAGGATATTATTTATGATATAAAAATGCATCGAAATGTTTTTTAATAGAAACACATTCATAAAAAAATCAACTTTCATAAAATTAGACTATGTTAATCTTAATTTAAGATTCTAGGTTTAATACATCAAACCTCTTGTGATATACGGAGTATGAAGTATAAATTTGATGCATTGGCCTCATCTGATTTGAGAAATGCATCAAATCCTTCTATGTTATAGTTATTCAGAGGCAAAATCCTCTCTAAGAACATATTTAACAATTTACAAATCACTTATCTTAATATTATGATTGAATTTGCAAATAAATTTGTCAAGATCTCTAAATTATGCAAAAATATTAATCATCTTTCATTATTTGGAAATTAAATTTGTTCATAGAGGTATTTTGTATATGAGTAATTATAACACATGAGGGTTTGATACATTTTTTAAATCACAGAAAAATAATGTGCCAATTTTATATGAAGTATATCATAAGAGGGTTTGGTGCACTAAACTTTGATGGTTTGAGTATGTTTTCAGAAAAATATTTAGATGGATATATATAATATAATGAGGTCATTGATTTTAACTCTGATGTTATAGATTTATTATTTTTAATATTTTTTATTAAATTATTAATTAAGTGTGCTAATTATTTCTTAAAATAAAAATATGAACTCTTAGGTGGGACGTCCAAAAGAGATAAAAGCTTAAGCCGAGAGTATTATTCAAAATCATTACACAATTTTTATCATCACTGACTTCAAAAGTAAAAAATGACAAAATTTTAAGCGAATGTTGTAGCACTATAATAGATTAGAAAGTATTGGCCAAAAGTGCTGAAAGACGAAGCCGTAGACCATCTTTAGTAGGAGCATGGATTATTTAAAAATTCATTGTCACATCAGATAAATAGATTTTAGTGTAAATTTACTTGCTCCAGCGAGAACTTACATATAGCCATACCCTGCATTGCTGAGTTGGAATGGAAAAAAATGCACACCCGGCCTCGACTTGTCCTACTTTCCAACAGTCTCACTCAGCCAAAAATTTATCACCGGGAAGTTCTTGGCGGCAAGTGAAAACATTTCCGCCAAATCTCAAAAGTGTAGCTTCAAAAAAGTCTCGTCAATTTCATTTTCCTACTTTCTTCTTCGCATCGGCTCTGCGCATTTGTTCTCCGTATCCGCTCTTTGCCTCTGCTCACCGCATTTGCTTGATACTTCAAAGTCATCCACGTGTTTTTCTAGCCTTCTCCATTTGATTGAGTTATGAGTGATGATAAATTGGAATCTATGTTCTTACAAAATTAACCGGATGAATTTTTTGAAAAGGAATGCACAATTTGAACAATTAGCAAATCGTATTAAAACTCAAAGTAATTTGGAACGAAGTTATTTTAAGATTATCAAGTAGCGGATGGGTATGCAGTCTTGCCTAGGATTAGAGGCGGCGGCGTTTCGTCCGCATAGTTTTGAGGCATCACTAACTTTTCTTCGAGCAAAGTAGAAACGTTTCAAGGATTCGGGCGGAAGCTTCTTCAGTTGCCAACAACAACAGGGGTTCGAAGGTTCCTTGTGACAAGGGCAAGAGGAGAAACCGTGTTCGAAGGTCTTAGCGCACTGCTTGGGTTCCAACAGGGGTGTGACGACTTTGTTTAAGGTTTTCAGCTTGCAGCAGGTTTGAGATTCCACTCTGGCAAAAACAGAACCAAGGAGGCGGTGATGAAGGATAAGCGCATACCCCAGAGGCTAGAAGAGATCGAAGCTTGTGGAAGGATGAAGATGGAGAACGAAAAGGAAGTCAGGGACAACCAGTGGATCTATGATCGCTTGGACTTGAATGAAGAGGGTGGAGCGTTATTGGTTCGTCCCCATCCTGAACCGCCGCCAGAGAAGGAATGAGTGGTTAGGGTTTGGCCGTTTGGATGCCTCGCTTAGTTATTTTTGCTTGTTTGAATTGTTATTTTTTCGTTCAGCACTTTCAGTTTAATTTCTACTTTGTGGTTAGTTATTAGTTTGTGAGAAAGCGATCAGCCTATTTTAGCCGATAATAGCTTTGAATCTCTCGCATATTCAACGATCAGTCTTGCTCATTATTTGGCAGTATTCAAACAAGACTATTCTATGTCTCATCAGAGAGTGAGGGGGGCTATTGGCTATAAAGAGCCTAGCGGGAAGAGTTGGGCAGTTGAAAGGGTGAATGCTTGGATGTTTGTTTCAATGAGTTTAATGTAAGCAATTTGCATTTTTCAGCCAAAAAAAATTGGAACGAAGTTCATGATCGATGAGAATAATACACGGCTATGAAACTTGTGTAGATTAATGCACTTTTAGAGTTCTGTTTTTGTTGTTTTTAAGAACTCTAGGACAAAGTTCATGATTTATGATAATAATTTGGAACAAAATCTATGTTTTCCTTGTTCTATCGTTTGCTTTTTTTTTCACTCCATTTCATTAGTTTTTTTGTCTCTAATGGGGATTTATTTGTTCCTTAAAATGAGATTCTAGATTTGAAGATTAGACTAACTGAGCTATTAAAATATACATGGTGTTAAAAACTTTCCTGATGTATGGCACCTACTTCTATGTATTATGTCAATATTGTCATTTGTATTTTCTAAAATTTCAACCTTGAGAAGTGTTCATTTCAAGTTTTAAAGTGTTACACTAAATTGTGAAATACTTCAATTCAATCATTTTCCATTTTTTCAGCATTGCTAGGGGATTAAGGACTAAATTATCTAGTTTGTTAGTTGGTCCCAACCTAATATTGGTATTTCTGGGTTTGGTTATTGTCTTTGTATTCTAAATAAGATTCTGAGTATATATTGCAAAGGATTATGAGCTATATTACTTCTAGGTGACAGTGTGCAAGCATCTTACATCACCACATGGGCTTTAACATTTAGAGCTACAATAGTTTTTATGCATATTCATTGATTTTGATGATGGTTGCACATGATTGAGTAAATAAAGATATAATACTTTCGGATCACTTCATGAAAAACAGACCAAGACATTTGTCCCGCTTTTCCTTCTAACTTATGTTTGGTTTCATTATGTGAACTCGAAATAATGACTAAAATTATAAAAACTTATATCTTATTCTATTTTTAGCTTTTCAAAGGCCTTTTCTGCATATAGTAATCGATTTATTAACATCATTGCTATGTATGGTTTGAATATGAATTATGTAGTATGTATCAATTACATAATGTATTTCTCTGCTTTAAACATGAAATAGCAAGGTTATTTATATTAATGATGTATTGGTTTTCTGCATAGATGGAGTCAACATCTCAACCATTTATGTACCATGAACACCTAAAGAAAAACATTGAAGTAACCGATCTCACTTCTCTGTATAATAGCGCTTCACAAATCAACTCACAATCATCAATGTCTCCATCTAACCAATTCAGTACATCAAACATGGCTTTTAATACTACCTACGTCCCTTAAAACTTTGCCAAAGTTGACTGGCACGCAGAACAATAAAGTAAAAATTGTGTGGTTGAGGTTTGTGCACTGAAGAGAGAAAAAACAGAAACCACAAAATAATTGATTAAAAGGGAAAGTGGCAAAGCTTTTTGGGACGTCCCAAAAAGGAAAGATGACAAAGTTTTAAGGGACGGAGGGAGTATATCCTAATTTTATGATGAATACTTCATTTCCTCCTCGTGCTCCCTTTGGGTATGGATTCTTTTTTCAAGATCTTTTACATTCTTCTAATATTCAATTGGAGAGATAAAAGTAACAAGCCCATACAAGATATGAATATCACTCACATAGTTGGAGGTACCAAAAATTGGAGCAAAGATGAAGACATAGCATTAACAAGGGCATGGTTATATATTTCTATTGATGCTGATCTCAGTAACAATAAAAAATTGCTAATATGTGGAGTGGTATCTTACAAACTTGGCGGGAGAAAATGAGAGCTTATGATATGATGAGTCTCACATAACAAATACCTCACAATGCCATTGTGTTGAGATCTTAGTTGCAGTGAACAAATCCCATGTTTCATATGAGCGACTACACTGGCATCTAAAGAGTGGAGCAAGCCAAGAAGTTATGATAATTTCTACTTGTGTATATCTATTGATTTGTGTTATTGTATTTTTATTATCATTCATTTTTAATATTACAATATGTCTTGTTTTCACGTTGTGATGTTTGAGTGTGTGATAATGTTTGAGGTGTGAAGCAATGAGCATGTACGAAGATATTAATCATGGTCAATCTTTCAAATATGAACATTGTTGGGAGATCATGACAAAAAATCCAAAGTGGTGCGTGAAGGAGGTTACCAGGACCAAAGATTTGTCCAAGCAAAAACATACCGGTAGAAAAGTGCTCAGGTGATACTCGATTACCAACTCCACATGCGAGTTCATGTAATAAAGACTGAAATATCAATCTAGATGGTACTAGTGATGGTAAATGCAGTGATATTGAACACCCCGGAGGAAGAAAAGCTACAAATGAAAAATATTCATTGACGCTTTGAATAAGTTACAAAGTGTGATGGAAAACTAGATTTGTGTAAGTCATGAACAACTCAAGGTGAAGA